GCACAAGTCTGGTCAAAGGATCGGCTTCACTTGTCTCTTTGACGAGTTTTTGTGTGGTGCTAAGAATGGCAAAACTCAATGACGATGCCGGCGTAACGTCTCGGAATCTACCACGTCCACAGCCCGACTGGCAATTATCATGCAGACAATGGACCCCGGACAAGGTGCGTTCCAATAATCTTCCTACCAATATGACCATGTTGCGAAAACAAGGTCAAACAAGCTCTATACAACGAAAGGAGACTGCGATCACTTCCTACCAATATGACCATGTTGCGAAAACAAGGTCAAACAACCTCTATACAACGAAAGGAGACTGCGACGTACCAATATGACCATGTTGCGAAAACAAGGTCAAACAACCTCTATACAACGAAAGGAGACTGCGACCACATAAAAGGCCACACCATCTTGGTCTTATACCTTCGTTTGAAAATATACATCAATTTATACATAAAGAAAAGCTAGAAAGCAAGGTTTAAGTGGGTTAAAATGAGTAGAAAGAGCAGCAGCACATAGCACCAGTATCACACCTAATTCCTTAATATTTTTGCCTGATAAAAATTAGGTATAAAATTCCAAGTAATATGTACAACTGCCACTATATCAATTAATAATAACCTCGATTAGCATAAGAGGATACATATAATAAGCGGAAGATGTTTACTATTCCTTAGTTAGAATGTGTCGGCGAAACAGCGTGGCTTTCCTCATCGATAAATACAGCATGACATCAAAAAATGATATCGAGAACCAACAGTGATTAGTGATATTTACAGGGTCTGCTTGTAAAGGTCAAGCATGCAAACTAGGAGGCATTCATATAGGAGGCATACATATAGGATATAAGGCGATCGCAATCATCAAACCATTTTAGAGGGAAAAAGGTATATTAATAAGGCAAACACTCTGATGAATACCAAACAGCTTATTTTATTCAGAATTGATTATTAATTGCTTATAAAATTTCCTATTTTTTGCAATATGAAAAAGTGAAAATGTGAAATAGAAGTGTATAGCATTGGTAAATTATTAAGCATAAGGTAGCCATTAGTAAAATAACTTCTAATTCTGAAGTGACAGGAGCGACTAGTATGATAAATAGACAAGATATTAAGTGCAGTCCACCAGGCATTGTGCATTAAGTTAAGTTGCCCATCTCAGCATGATAGATAAATCGTCAGAGCAATTTATAACAATTTATTACGACTGGCATCTAATTGCTAGGTAAATATCAGTCGTAGATTGGAATGGTGGGTTTATTAATCGCATAAGGCCTATGAAAAATTATAAACCAAAATTAGTTGGCGCGAAAAGTAGGGGACAAACAATAAATGCACAACAATGATAATGTGAAGACTAAAGATATTTGGTTAGAAGTCTAAAAGCCAAAGGATTAATTAAATGACAAAAAAACAAAATAATTGAATAGAAATCGAATTATATAAAAAATCGAATATAGCAAGTTATTAAAATTAGTATAAAAAAAGACAAGCCAAATGGTAAGAAATAGGAAATAGATGCGGAAATTAATTAGTCAGTTTAAGAAAAAGGTCTTGATTGTCGATACAATATTTTCTGGCTCTTCCATAGCACCAATTCCATGTTCTCCGCAAATAAGAACTTTTGAAATAGGCGGGATCTGAGTCCAGTGCAATTTGTGCACTAGGACGTCAATATGCTCACAAGTAAGAGGGTGCTCCCACATCTGAGTGTTCATTGCCGGCGCAAAAAATGCCGGCTTACGTTCTTGTTTATTAGACCACCACCAAGCCCTGGCGATGCACGTGAGAAGATTGTCAGCTATTCCATTACTAATTTTCGCTAGAGTATTAGCACTAAGAGGCGCTATCAAAAGGATATCCGCCCAGTTTCGCAACTTAACATATAAATATTAATAAATTACGTTAATGTGAAGTACAGGATCACCTCGGGTTTTCCAACAGCACATTTCATCTGCAGTTTTGTGTATTCGGACAGGTATTTTATTTTGATCAAAAAAGTATAATGAAGCATCTGTAGCAACAACTTCTACATCATAATCGTTATTAATCAAAAGGTTTAAAAGCAGTTGCGTTTTGATTGCCGCAACACTGGCAGTGACTCCAAGAAGAATACGCTTACGCGGTGAGCGATCACATTCATGAGAGCTCATTAAAGTATCCTCGAATTCCCTCAAAAACAATACTTTAAAAATTCCCTTAAAATTTTAATGTTTAATTTTAAAATTTATTTTGGTAATAAAATATTGTTAAACATACTACTAAAGACAAAAACACATGTTACTCCTATTTGACCTATATGATCTGGCCTACTTCGTGCATATTCGTATCATGCTCGGCGAATGTATTGAGTTTGGAGGCATTG